CAGGTAGGGAATCAAGAGTTCACAGGGTTACCCACTCCTGCAAGTTAGTAACTGTTGACTCAAACTCACCCTATTCTGGCGCCAGGGAATTTGAATTTTTCCTAACCTTTCTTTCTTGCCATTGTTTTCTTTTGTTCTCCTCTAAGTTCTTCATATCCCTCTTGACTTGTGGAGCCTAAAACACATGCACTAACTCGAACTGACATTTGCACTTGCATGTGCTGTCTCTCTCTCTCTCTCTCTCACACAAACACACACACACATTCACAGTTACACCCTCATATTTACACTTTCTTAATACTGGTAGACATCATACAAGCACCAGAATTTTAGCTGAAGAAAGAGTGAATAGTGCCCCTTTTACACACAGAATAGTGTCCCTCCCCATCCCATCAGATCACATAGTGGTGGCGGGGGGGGGCGGAATCTCAGACTCAAGCCAACACATAGGACTAGAACCAGCTGATGAAGTGGCCACAAAGCTTTGCACTGTCTCTTGCCTCAAGTAATCGATGTGAGGCTCAGGTTATTTATGAGCTGGGATATAAAGGAAGAGGATCTGGTAGCAAAGCATGTGGTGGTACAGAAGCAGGTACGGACTAAAGCACCCAAGGCTCTTTCTAAATTCCAGACATTTCTCTGATCTTCCAGGACAGACTAGGGAGGTCTGAAGGAAAACCTGGAATGTGCATCCTCAACACACTTACAGAGGGAATAAAGGGACACAGCACATGCAGGTATGACGCAGGCCATAGAACACCAAATGGTCTGACACAAAAGGGGCTTCATTTGGCTTTATTCAGCAGTCCAGCTGGAAGCAGGGTTCTCCAGAGAGTGACAAGAGGGAGGGCCCCAAACAGAAGGCAGCAGCCCCTAGCGCTTACCTGGCTAAGGTTGAGTGGCTGTGCTGCGCTGGTCCCCCCGCGTGGAGCTCGACACCCTGTGGGGGTGATACAGCATCCAGATGACTGCCCACTCACTGAGGCCACTGGCTTGGTCTTACTGCTCAGGAGACCTAAAAAAGGGTCAGACCGTAGTCAGTTATGAGTGGCCTCAGCTAAAGCTCAGATGGCATCATATTCATCAGTCCACATCTGTATGAGGTTTGCAAGAGTTAAGGTTTCATGTGTATCTTATTTCCTCAATTACATTTACACCAGAGGAACAAAAACTGTACAACCCATTTCTTTTCTGTCTTGCTACAAAGCTCCATGAAGGATCTTCGAAAGATTCACTCCAGTAAATCTTACACAGTCTCTTGTAATGTGCAAGGCACTGCGGGAAATACAAACACCAGTGGGACGCAGTCCCTACCCCCAAGGGGCCCAGAGTTTTATGTAGGAAGGGGTGAAACAAGTATAGAAATGACACTGGGAAGCTGAGTAAGATGTTGGTAATACTTAGGACATTTAGGTGTCAAAGGAGCTTCAAAAGAAGGCACGATTAGATCCTGTTGGGCACTCACTATCTTCAAATTCTAAGAAACTGCAGAGCAGTTGGATATAAGCAAGATCAATTTCCAAGTTCTGCTTCCTCTGTGGTCCTACTAGGAAAACGGAAGCATTTATTCAATGATTTGTGGAGTAGCCTCTATTCTTTGGACCCAACAATGGACAGAGCTCCTAACGACGCTCTTCAGTAGCCTGGCATCAGGAAGTTCTGCCTTGCCTGCAATGGGACAGCTGCCCAGTTCTGAGGGGGGGAACCGCACTGAAGCTTAACATGATATCCTGAAATCAGAACCCTGTTCATGTCTCTGGCGGTAACATAATTCATAGTAAAACACTAATTTATGTCAGTACAGCACAGATGGCTATACTGACACCAAAATTTCATGCTCCCCCTCCTTTGGTGTACAGAGTTGCCACTGGAAAACAGCTGCCTAGACAAGGACTCCATTTCCTGGGCCTCCGAGCCTCTAGGTGGGGCCATGGGATTAGTCTGCACTGTTTCCAGGGCTTGAGAGGTGTCCCTCCTCCAAACTCTTTCTTCTTTTCATTGGAGGCTGAGGATCCCTGGGCTCTGATCCCTGACTCACTGCAGGCCCACCAACCAGGAGCACTAGCACTGGGAAGTCATGTGAGTAAGAAGCAAACTTCTATTATGTCAAGCCAGGGAGGTCTGCAGTTTGTTACTGCAGCTAGCATTACCTGATAACTGAACTGGGGAGCCTAAGCCCAGCATCTAATAGCAAAAAAGATGGAGGTAGCTAGGTTGATGATAAAACCACAAAAGTATTACTGCTATGACACTGGTAAGAAAAGATCTAAGTACATAGCGTTTTCCAAAAAAAAAAAGTTTGCAGTCATTTTTAATAGTATCAATTCCTTTTCACTCTGGATTGTCAAATTTTAATCACTTGTGCCAAAAAAAATTTGCCTGCTAATTCTCCCTGTGGTACAACAGCTCTTGTCTGTCTTCTCCCATCAAAACTGAGTACATTTCTGAGACTACAAATTCACTTTTATGTTAACCCAAACAAAATAAACATAGTAAGATACACTGATTGCCAAAAATGATTTCACATCACAAGGAACCGATTTCTGAATTAAGTAACTGGTCGCTACCATCGCTACCATATAATCTACCTAAGCAGATTAGAGCGACACATTAAGGACACACACAGCGATGGAGAGTTCACCTGCGGCTGTGAAGATGCTCACCTGAGGCTGGGGCTGCTACAGTGCAGTCGCCAAGCTGAGTTTTCAGTGGAGGCACGATGATGGTGCGGGTGCTGGCGCCGTCCCCCGCGACTCTGCCGGGCCCCTCCACGAGGGGTCCACTATTGCCCCGGAGAGCACCCAGGGTATCAGTGGAATATGGGCTGCTCAAGGACGAGTCAGAGTCTGGAGAATCATTGACAGTGACATAACTGATGACATTAGACCTTGCCTTCAGGCCCGAGCTGAGGAGAAGAAAACACATGACAATTCACCCCCCTCTTAGCAATGTTTCTTTGATGATCTCTGGTCTCCCACGACGACAAGGATGATGACGGCGACAGAGTAATACCAGCAGTGGCAGACTTCTGAGTGCTTGTTATGCATCAGGGACTGTTCTTACACTACACGTAGGTCTCACCGGATCCTCACAACACTTCTGTGAAGTAGGTACTATCACCCCCATTTTGTAGATGAGGAAGCTGAAGCACAGGGAGATTAAGACACTCAGCCAAGGTCACACAGGCGGTAAGTGGTGAAGACAGGATTCAAGCCGGGACAGAATGCTGCCAGATACACAGCTCTAGCAACTCTTCCACGCTGCCGCTCAACCATTTCCACTCACGGTCATTTCAATAGTATTCCCCGTATCATCCTGCTAGACTATATAAATGGTTCCTTAGTATGTCTAATCAAACTTCTCGCCATACTTTTTTTTTTTTAAATGTTCCTTCACAAACTGAACTCCATCTTCGTAACTTTAATTTTTCCTGATTTTAAAAGAGACTTGGCTCCAGTCCAAGCAATCCTGCTGGTTTCACAACTTTTGCCACTCCATGGTCACTGTTCCTCACTGGAAAGTTCACCTTTTCTCTTCCCCAAATCCGTTCAGAAACCACTTTCAATACTTAGGTTCAAGTCTACATCCCATTTGTAAATACCATCTTGTAACTGTAAATATAATTTGTAAATAGCTCTTTTGAAGTACTTCATTCTAAATCTGCTCTTTCAGGTCATTAAACTTCATTTATATATAACTCTGCAAAGTCTTCTCAGTTACTGTCATGTGTGAATCCTACCTCCTCAGGTAAACGTGGGGTTATTCCCTCTTCTTTATGCCTAGCACCAAAGGCCCAGTGAAGAATTTAACACAGAAAAATCAAAGCAATTAACTATGTTCCCACTAAGAGAGAGGTGTATGTAACAGTTCTTAAATGTATCCACTCTCTCTTGGTTAACTGCCCAGTTAAGAACTTGGATTAAGGTGCTGAAATAAGAGGAAATTATCTGGTATTTACATTCCTCAACTTGCAGACCATACTTAAAAGTTGCACCTCTTCCAAAGAGGCCTTTGCAGATTATGAAATTACAAATAACCTCCTATCTACTAACTTTTCCAATTAACTGTTGTTTATGTGCTTCTGCTATGGCATCTATTTTCAGACTCTAAAGGTCCTTAAAGGCAGGGAATCACGTCTGTGGTATAATGTGCACTGCAAGCCAAAGCAGCTAAATATTAAGCAACTTAATATCCCCCTTCTAGCGAATGTATCTGAAAAGACTGATTTAACATCGCTCAGTCATGGAAACTTGAGTGTTCTGACTCACGCATCCAAGGCCACGCTTCCAAAATACCATTTTTTAGTCCTTCCTTTCATAGCCCAAACTGGGCCACTTGCCTGAAACCAAGAGTCGAAGATTAAGGTTTGGAGCCACTGAGCCAAGGAGCCATTCACCTATCTTACCTATTGGGCTTATACTTGTTGTCCTCTTCCTCATCAGTGTCACTGCGGATGGTGATGACACTCACAGGAGGGCTAGGAGTATCTGGAATGATGATTGGCTGATGCTGATCTGGGACAGGGACTAGGGAATTATAAGAAGATGTGGTACGGAGAGGACTGCTCCCAACCAGAGAATAGACTTGAGAAGGCAGAACATCCAGAGAAGACCTGTAGAAAAAGGTCACAAGAAAGACCGTTCAGTCCTCGGTCCCCAAAGCTATCCGTCTTTTCCCCCAGAACTCTTCCCAGCTTGTTCTTTGATTCCTTTTTACCTAACCATTAAGTCAATACAACACTTAACTATAGAAGTTCCAATAAAAACTAAACGAACCGCTCTAGCCAGGGTTTCCACCAGGGACAGGAACCCTAAAATACAACATAAATTTTATTTTTGTATGCCCTTTACTCCATGGTTAAATTTCTCTCTGTAATGTTGGCAGAAAAACAAAAACATCGGCCTAAAAGACAGCCTGGATTCAAAGTGGCAGCAGAGAGAAAGGATTTGCATAACCAGGGCACACCTGGCATGCATGCCCAAGTGAAAAGGTTAGCTCAATTCGGCAGCTACTCGCTGCTTCACACCGAAAGGGTCTACACCACGGCACTCTAAATGCTGGCGACATCTCTGTCAAACTGGCAGCTTTAACTACCAGCTCTAACAGAGACTTACTTAGAAGAGACTGGAGCAGACTGCTTATTCTTCTTTGAAGGGAGAGAACTGGATTGTTGTTGTCTGACAACATGGGCAACACCAACATTCAGGGGCTGAGCAGTGGCCAGTGTCACGTGGTTAGTCAGCAAGGAGGGCTGCTGCATGATAGTGCTGTACTGGTTGCTGTGAGAGTGGGCGTTCCTGTACCAACAGAAAGACACAGAGAAGACTGAATGCCTAAACCGCTGGGAAATTAGGACCAAATAGGTATTAAAAGCAATTAAAACAACCAAACAGAGCTGTGTTTTATTTTTTAAGTTGGGCACCTGGATGACAAGGCTATAGGTTTTCATTGCATGGTTTCTAATTGCATAAGCCTTTCTTTAAATCCCAAATAAATGATTCCTGACCTCAGAATCTATTGTTTTCCTATATTCCAAGTTTTCTCATTACTCCATCTCCTAGCCCGATAAGGGTTTTCTTAAAGAATCTGAAACAGAGATACATCTCTCCTTTCCTTTATATTCTTCCCAGTCTGACCAAACCATCAAGCACTTCTCCCCTAGGGGATCTACCCTTGCAAATCTCCCAGAGAAGAACACAGGGTACTTGCCTCCAGTCTGTGAGCTGCTGGCCACTGCCCATGGCCTCTGGAATCACTGCTGTGGGCTGGACAGAGTTGTGCAGAGCTACCCCAGGCAACTGTTGCCAAGTTGAAGGCAGGAGAATTTGTTGGGTTCCTCCAGGCCAAGCCTGCTGTAAGGAAACACACATAAAAAGATCCAGACTTGACTCATTCTTGGCTTTTTCTTTTGTTTTTCAGATGAAAGAAAAATTCGTATCTTAAAAGAAGTTGCTTGTAGATTGTTAACTTGCAGAGATCAAAAAAGAAAAGTCAGAGGGGCTCAAAGTTACAAGTCTTATGAATTGGGAAAGAGAACATGCTGCTTTTTCTCGGCCACCTCTGTAACATGACCACCAGGGTATTAAAGAAAAGAAGATCCCTGTGGTTAAGAGTTTCTCTCTTATACTGCAGAGTCAAAGAGTCTGAAAAGTTCAGAGGTAAGCTCCGGTTAAATGATGGAGTATCATTTTTGCAACGATTCTAAAAATACACCTAGAAAGAGTTAAGACAGCTCCCTTGAGATTAAAAATAGTAATTTTAAAATTGAAGTGCCAATCAGTTAAGACATCAGGTCAATTCAACCCATAAAACAAAGGGGAGAATTGTGCCTTTTTAAAAGGGTAGAACTTGGAACATGGAGACAGATGCGGATGACCAAAGGCCAAAATCCTTTGGCAAACAAGCATATGCCAGCAAGAGAAAGCTAACTTCATCATATACAGCCATATGATAGAATTAAATAAGGCAGTAAGTAAAATATTTCCAAAACAGATGCAGGGAGCACCATATTTTGTTTTTAATAGTTACCTAAAATATAATGTTTAACGTTATCATTTATGGAAACATACTTCAACATAAAAACTAATCACTACAAGAAAATACATCATTTCTAGTTTTTAACAAGCACTTGCAATAGACAGCAACAAATATGTTTTCTAACTTTTTACAGAAATTCTGGCATTTTCTGAAAAAATGGGAACAGATTTGAAAGTTTCCTTTTTAAACTTAAATTCTACAGTACAATCACCTACAATGCTTGGGTACATATGGTTCTTTCTTGAATTTCAAACTGCAAGGCCATCAACACACTGTTTTAAAAATATTTCTGCAAGTAACAGATCCACTTGTTACAAATACCGGTTCCAAACAAGAAGCCTTCAAAGCAGAGAAACTGCAAACACGTCTGCTACCATAAGCAGAATTTAAAACAAAATAAAACAAAACAAAAAATAAGAGAAGTATGTTAAGTCACACCATGCGTCTTTCCATAAGCCAACACCTGCACAAGACAAAGCATGTAGTTTAATACAGAGCAAGAAATAACATTCCAACGTGAGGCAGAAATCTGGCGTTCCAAGCGACGAACTGTTTTGACAGAGGAAGAACAAAAATATGCAAAGCTTAGCAAATGACTAGTGCAAACTTAAGAAAAGCAGCAAAGGAGAAGTATCAACTAACATTCTCAAAACTACAGGTGAGCAAGTTAAAACCAGTGGCTTGGATCAATCAAATTGGAAATATATCTGACTCCCTTGCACTCAGGTTTTATGCTCATGATACAATTAATCTGGAGGTGACAAAGGCTTTTAAACTAAAAACCAAACAAATTCCAACAACCAAAGTATGTTTCTGGAAGTGTTTACACTCAACATGAGTCCTTGAGAAACAACAAAGGGAATTTTTTAAAAGCCCCTTCAAAAGATGTAGATATCAGTATTCAATAGTATCAATAAAGTTTTCAAATGCCTACCTAATTTTAAATTTTTAAATAATGAAATGCTGGATGTCCAATAAAACAAGTTTAACTCCCCCAAATAAACCAAAACACATCCAAAGACCACTCTGAAGGGTACAAATCCTGAAATACACCTCGAGGTCCTATTTGTTTTTCCTATCTCTAAGCCCCATACTATTACATATGCTGCTGTATTTAGTAACTTTTCCCCAGGACTTTCAGTGACAAAGGTATTGTATTTGCATAAGGGTTTTCGGCCATATTTTCATCTCTGTATAAAGACCTATTGATAAAGTCATTAATTTCTCCATAAACCCCTAAAAATGAGTTCACGTTTAATCTCAACCAACAAATGAAATATGATCTAAAAATATTCTAAAGGGACCATCTTTAAATGGAAGATATAAGCTGCCACTGATCATGAGCAGCAGAGTTATCTTCGTATGTTCTTAGAAGAAAAGTTAACATCAACTGATAAAGCAATAAATTAGGAGCATCTTTAACATTTCTACATGCACAAAAATTTTCGAAGCTTAAAACAGCAAATAAAGAAGGAAGCTAACTTGCCAGGGAGTTCAAATTTTGGCCATCCGGATACCTGCAGCAGAGCCGAACTAAAGGCCATTTCCTTTATTCTCAAGGATCAGAGGGTAAGAGGGCAGAAAACAGATACAGTGTTGAAGCTCTTCTGAGACTACACCAAGAGCTTTTATCACACTAGGCTGGCAAAGAAGAATAAAGGGATCTGGCTCCTTACAGAGTCACACTGAATATCAGAGTCAAACAGTGCTTCAGCAAATGTTGGGGAGGAAAACAATGAGACATTAAAGATGTAGCAAGAACACAGCCACAAGATGGCACATGCTTCCATGCCCTCTGCAAAGACTAAGTTAAAAAAAAAACTTTTTTTTGAAAAATGAGAAAACCAGAAGGAAACAGAACAAAAACAAACAGGAAAAAATAAAAAAGAAAGAAACCAAAGAAACTCCGTTAGTAACACAATCAAGTGAGGGGAATTACCAGTACAGCGGCAGTCTGTTCAACCAGCGCCGGCCGGCCGGCTGCGCAGCTCAGAGTAAAGGGCACCGCATACTGCGGTGTGATGGTGGCTACTTGAGGGTGGAGAGTTGCTACCATTAGTGGTGTACAGCTTCCCTGCAACGTAGATTAGGCAGGTGAGTGAAACAAACACGGAGGCAGGTTATCTGGATTCAGAAGGGTTCTCATTCCCCCCAAGATACTACCAACAAGTAGGAATTTCGTATCACCTAAAATGCATGTAAAACACAACTTTCCCCTTCAGCTCTGCACGGCATCAGCCCACTAGGTCAAATGTCAAGGGCCTAAGGCAATCAAATATAGGAATCCTTCTTGGGCCAGATTCAGAGGATTGGCTCTACAAAACTCAGTTAACAAAGGCATGTATTAAGAATTCCTCTTCGTCCTACTCCCAAAAGAAGAGTTTTGGGCTTCCAAATTTCCTCTGTGTCACAGGCCACAAACATTTACACACAGAATTGAAAATACGGTATCTGTTGTTTATATGAGTCTTTCATGATTTTCTTGCCCATCTTAGTTGCATGTCCCGTGGCAGGTAGAAAGTTTTAAGGCTTTCTATAGCTTAGTTAAACACACAGAGTGAAGGAATGTAATACTTGAAGAGGCATCCTGGTATGATCCAGCCTCTCTGTCATGATATCATTCTGAAAGAGTGAGCAAAGGGGACACTAAAGGGAACAAAAGGGGAACACTTTATCTTTAGAATCAAAATGCTGTTACATGTGTATAAAAAATTAACTATATCCCACCAAGTCTGAGTAAATTTACTCAAAACACCATTTCTCAAGGTCTGGGTATTTATCCCTGTAAGTCTAAGGAAGACACTGTCAGAGCTGCAATAGTGTTAGGAATGAGCAATCATTCCTCTATAGATGTTTCCTTTTAAGTCCACGGAATCATAACCAAGAAAGATCTTACAGTCAAAGTAAATACCATCTTCTAGGACAAAATATCTGCATCTCAGTAGCGCTTCCGCAATACTGAGTATCCAAGCTGCTGCGGCTTTTTACCTGTGTCAGAACTCCTGACTGTATCTGCAGTGGCTGAGCAGCTGGAGCCTGGGGTACAATCGGCACAGCGTTATCCATTCTCACAGGGAACCCAGAATGCTTGGTTGTTGCTTGTAGTCCAGCTGTAGAAAACACCACCACAGTTAAATTGCTTTGCTAGGTCTGTGGTTTGCTTACGGTTTTTTTGTTTTTAGCTTTTCTGTTCAAATCATCCACCACCCAGGTTAGTTCTAGACATGTGACATAGGAATTTCATAGAAGTCTAGGGACTTAAGAAAAGGGAGACTGGTTTGGCTCTCTCTGGTTAAATTCATGGAAAGATGTTTGATACAAGAAGGGATGGTTTAAGGGAATTTTAAAAAAACTTTTTTTCTCCTGCAACACTTAAAATGTAACACCCATCCCATTCCCATTAATAGCATATGCAAAAGCAAACAAACAAAAAACCTATACTTACTAAGTTACATTCACCTTTTAATCCATTAGGGGGGAAAAAAACTTGTATTTTTTACATGCAATCTATTAAAAGCAAAGACTTAAAATAATTATAACTTTTGGTTAATTATGACTCTTAGTTAAGAAAAAATTATCATTATTTATCATCTAAGTTACCCTTTCAGAATATTTTAAGATGTTTTACCCTACTCCTCAAAAAATTCACAATTTAGTTACACATTTTATCTTCAACTAGTATGTGAACTGAAGAAATTATAACTCAGGATAAAAATATTTAAAAAGTAGGTATTTTGGTTTACAGGAACACTTCTTTTCTACTTATTTTAGGAATCTGCCTTTGCCATTGACAGCTTTCTCTTTTACAACTTATGCACAGCTAATTTTTGCTGCCTTGCTCTGGGCACAAATGCTGAATGAATGTTTCCTCCAAACGGGAATTTCTTATTCTGGGGAAAAGAGAGGCTCAAGGCAGTTCTCCCTTTTGCCAAGAGTCGGGAAGAGAGACTTCAAAACTTTCTTTTAAACTTGCCCTATCAAAACTTTCAATGTGGAGAATTTAAGTTTCTATTATCCACTAACAGAAGTTTCTCTAATTCACTAATGCCTGCAGTTTTGTTAAGTGGGACACAAACATTTTAATTAGAATACTTCTTCAGTGATACTTTCTAAGCTATCACCAACTAATTTCTCTTAATATTACTACCAAATAAGCATAACTCCTAAACTCTAACACTGTGGTTTTCAGCAAGTCCTCCAATTTTCCATTTCAGTGATTTACAAGTATTTCAGCAGTAAGATGTCATATTGGAAAACACAATCCAGAAATACACGAAGTAAGAGAGACTAGTAAAATTAGAATTAAAACACTATAATAATAACTTTTTTAAAAAGTGCTACTTATATAAAAATAAAAGGTAACAAATCCAGATATCCAGATTAAAAAAAAATCGGCCAGCCGTTCTTCATAAGGCAATGCTAGCTAATAAAATATCTAAGCAACATCAAAATTCTTGTCTAAATTCCCAGGACACATGGCCAACTACAAGACAACATTATTGTAATAGCCTCCTACAAACAGGAACAGAGGGCAAAGGCAAGTAAAATTTAGGAAGAAATGTTCATGATAGAAGTTCACCTATACATTCCAAGATAATAAAGTAAAAGGGACAAAATTACAAAATATAGTTACCACTGAGTAAAATGTGTATCTATTTTGGTCAACTGGAATAGTACAGAAAGTAATATTTATAGTACTGACCTACAAATCTAACTAAATAAGCATTAGACTGCTTTCATAATTTAGGCTAAGCCACAGCAGTTAAGCTATTTACACTTGCTTCTTCAGGAAACTACAAGTGGAAACAAAGAATTAACAAGGCAACACTTTTGGAAGGTTCTCCCGGAGCCCTGAACTAGGAAATGATTCAAGCTTTAATTTTTGTTTTGCTTTTGTTGAATACAACCCATTAAATAAAAAACCATGGAAGTATGGAAAGAACTGTCTAATTGATGAGGGTCAATTTTCTTCTAAGTATAGTATCTTGTAAAAAAAACAGATGGTGAAAGAAGAGGAGGCAACCTGGAATAGAGGACTGCTGGGCAGAAACCAGCATACGGCTGTGGCTGACAAACCAATTGACAACCTTTATAGCTGAGTTTAAATACTAAGAGGTGGTACTGTATATTTCAAAAACCCACTGCCTGGATTCAAACCCCAGTTCTACCACTAACTAGTGGTAGTTATTAAGACTTTGGGCAGATGAGAGAATCAGGTTCAATTTTCTCATCTATAATGAGATATAATGACATCGGGCACAATGGCATTACCCACTTCCTAGGGTTGTTTGTTGAGGATGAATTAATACATGTACAAACAGAACATTATCTGGCGTGTAGTAATACATATCAGCTATTTTCATCCTCATTAACTTAAAAACTCCTTTTGTTTGGAAATTATATAATTTGCTCTAACTCCTCAGGTTATTCAGACTTCCTAAATAGAAAAAAATTTCCAAAACTTATACTTACCTAATTACAGCAAAAGAGTTACACCACTTTCCCCTCTACATCGAGTCTACATTTTGTTTTATTAAGGGAACCAAAAAGTTCTGCTTCATCTTATAAATATCATCTGAGAAGCGGCAGAAGACTTCAGAGTCCCGCATCTGAAAACTGTTCCCGTGAGACTCACTTTGGAAAAGGTGAGGGGGAGGAGGGTGGCTAGTTTGCTAAATTCAGTAGAAGAATCACTCGACATACGACAACCCAAAGTATAGAATTTACTCTTATGTAGCATATGCAGAAAATTATTTGGTAAGTTAGGCTAAATATGCATTTACGGGTTTGGTATCTGCTCCTCCGCTCTCCCTGTGGTCTCTCCCTGGTTTACATCGCTATCGCTCTCCTGTCCTCCCGGTAATCTCTCAGTCTCCCCTAGCCCCTCTTTTCCTTCTGCTTGCTCCGACTCTGTCAGAAACCAAACAAACAAGAGAGTCACAGTCAATAAGTAACTGAAGTAAAAAGATAAAAATGCTACCTGCTTCTATTGTAAAGTGCTATGACAAGCCTGAATCCTGATTTATTACCACAGGGTACTGACAATGACTTTCTGTTGGGAAAGTCAAGTGTGTTGTCAGAAAATATCCTTAAAATAATTTAACCTTTTAAATGGCTCACCATATCAATAAACACATTTCCCATATTTCAGAAAAAAAGGAACTGGACAGACTGAATTACAGAATAATGATAAAAAATGAGGAAGGATGGGAATGTGAACATTTAAATTTTATTGCAACATATGGGGTCAGAGCCTCTTTCTTCAGCTATTCTGTTCCTCTGTTGATAGAAGTTTGTAGGAACAATATGATTCATAAGCGGAAGCAGATAAATTTAATGCACTCCCCATACATGTACCTCCGCTTGTAGAATTTTTCAGTTCAATAAATAATTTTTATTTCTGAATGTAACTCATGAGGTTTCCATATTCTTAAGCATAATTTTTACATTTTAGAATAAAATTACCTTTTATTTGGAAGGCTAATTTTATTAATAGTAGAATGATAAAGGAAATAAGATTCAGTATAGAATTTCTGTTTATAACAAATTTCTTCAAGCTTAATATTTCTGCATATTGAGAGATACATACTTAAACAAGATATAGGACATTGGTACAAGGTCTCAGTGGGCAAGAAATTGGTATCAGGGCAGTTCAAATAAGAAAAGTTAACTGAACTCCCATAACGTGTCAGACAGTAGCATAATTAGATACATAACCAATGTAAAAAGGGTAAATCCACGTTGTTAATTTCAGTTATCTTCATATTCAGAGACAGAGTTTAAACTTGTCAGAGATCAAAACTAAACAACTAGATACCTACTAAGGAACTGCCTAAAGCAAGATCTGTGGCTCTGATATGATACCATTTGATAGAGGAGATTCCCCACTTACTCTGAAAAGCAGGTGGACATACTATAAATGTTTGTTGGAACGGATCTGTCTGAGTGCAAATTTGGGTGGTTCCAGGCTGCAAGGACACGCCCTGCTGGGCTACTCCAGGAACTGGTGCTGCAGACGATGGGTACAAAGCCGACTGGTAGTTTAGCAGTGAGACATCTGAATTAGCCAGGGAAAGAGTAGCAGCTGCTGCAGTAGAACTGGAAGCTAGAACACTGGCCTAAAAACAAAAGGATTATAGCTGTATACTGGCATAAAGTGGAAATAACAGTATTTTTACACATGCAGAATCTACCCAGAAAAACTTAAAACAAAGTTTTAAAATGTAGTATTAACTGTCCCTGAAATAACTCTCTGCTTAAGAAATCTTCCCAATCTCTAAATTTAAGGCATACTATAAGGTTGAATAAGAAAACACAGAATAAAAAACAGTCCTGTACTGAGGACAGCCTCAAATAAACCCTTACCTCTTCCTTCTGTACAAAAAAGTTGCTAGATGTGAAATACCACCAAATCTCCTTTTAAAAGTAGACCTAGCTAAGATATTAGGAAGCTCACATCTTCAATAACAAATGTAAATATCACTATTTCGCAAACAAATGCAAAACCACTCTTAAATTACTGGAAACACCAAACCGAACTCATAGAAACAGTGAGTAGATTGGTGGTTGCTAGGGACAGGGCAGAAGGTGGGAGAGAAAATGGGTGAAGGTAATCAAAGGGTACAAACTTGCAGTTACAGATGAGTAAGTTCTGAGGATCTAATGTACAGTAGAGAAAAAAATTATTGGAAACACCCTTCAACACATGTAATGAGACATATAAAACCTTCCCAACAGAGAAAGTCAGTGGCTAAAGTCAGTACAACTAACAGCAGTAGGTAGTACAATAGCTATGGTCCCTTTATGGGACTATGCAAAGACTGTGAGGGCCTGGATTAGGCCTTTGTATTTAGTTTTTGTCGGTACATGACTGGTAGGTATCATCAGTCCACCTGGTCTTCCATCACTTTTGCTATGCAGGAAATTCATAAGAAGCAACAAGATCACCAAAGCAAAAACTGGTTTCTTTATCTCAAACTGTACTCTTACTAGTTTCTACCCCTCTTAGGTTTGAGTTTCCAAAATCATTTACTAAATACCTGATTGTGCACTGTATTAAGCTGGTTGCTGAAGCTCATGGTTAGATTTGTGCTTGTATTTGGGGCAACGTGAGTAGTGAAGGGGCTCTTGATCTGACTCACTGTATCATACATGTGAACCCTCCGCTTGCAGATCTCCATGTTCTGAAAACAGGACTTAACACTGAAAAAAGAGATTAAAGATTCAGTAAAATGAATGCTGAGATTTAAACAGACAACAAAAAACTCAAGATGAATATGGATCAACATTTTTCCCCAAGTATATTTAGATAAAATGAATCCAGAGTTTTTATAACCATAAAGAGAAGAAACATACATCTTATTTTTAATCTCATGATTTTTTCAATGAGAAAGGAAAGCATCAGTGAGCAAAATATGAAAGTACCAAGGCTGCTGCTCATGTGATTGTTCTGTTTAGCTGTTAAGATGGTAACAATACTGGACCACATCATGGCAAATGCCCCAGACCATACTCACTGATTGCTATGTGGAAAATCCAGAAGGTGGGTCATTGTCACAAACTGATGGTTAAGAGTTTTCAGAGGAGTAATTCTCTTATCTGCATCAATTGTTAGCATTTTTTTTAACAGATCGATGTATTCTCTTCGATCCGCCTTCTCTGCCAACATATCTGTTCCCTCCAAGTCTGTGGACATATTCACCTTCCAAGGAAAATTTAGAAATATTATACTTCATGACTTAACCTTTAATGCTGATACTACGCATATGAATAATAGATAGATAGATAGATAGATAGATAATAGATCTCAAGAGAAAAACCTGAGGAAATTCTTTTTATTACAGAAAAATCATTTTCACAAGTGGAAACTCTTATGCTATCTAAATAAAATCTTCAATTTGGTAGAGTGTGTTGGTAGAATAAAGCTGAATGAGTCTTTTCATTCAAAATTTGGACGAACAAGTGAAAGCAATTATTATTACTTAAATATAAAAATTTCTATTGTTGAAAAGATTAAATGACATAATAAGTATAAAGTGTTTAAGCAGAGTTTGGAACACAATATGCACTCAATTAATGTTAGCTCTTAAGTATTTATTTAGCAGAGAAAATGGACAGTAAAGAAATCTTCAAAAATAGCATTTCAAAATACTGACACACAAAAAGACCAGTTAAGCAAAAGCAAGGGAGAAACACAAAATTCTAAAAGTATCCTTGGTTAGGATTCAAATGTTCCTTTAATACATGGCAGAATACTAATGAACTTTTATCTCTAAAAAAATGAAAACATATAGAAGATAACAGATTGAATCCATTTTTAATATAACTAATCAATGGAAATGTCTCTCTGATTAAGAGATATATATAAATACCTGGCTTCCTGAAACCTTCTATACTCACCTGAGCCATGTCATCTAAACAATTAAAAATGTACTTTCGAGCTTCTTTTGATTTGATTCCAGTCTCCAATTCATGTTCTTCCGGTGTCTATAAAATATAGATTTAAAAAAAAAATTCCATCTGTATGTTATTTTCAATGTTTTGTTCTAAATTAAAGCCAAAAATACAAAGAAACAAGTGCTGTCACCTTGCCAATCAGAGATGGCAAACATGAAAGTAATTTGCAGCCAGAAAATCTTCTGGTGGATGGACGGGACCTGGATATCTGGCCACCCTTTTAATAGTGCTAAATTAAATGTGGAAACAGTGATCTAACACAGTTTCTGAAGGATGTCATGTAAGAGGGGATATTACCATTTTTCTCTTAAAGCTACTTTCAAATGAAATGATATTTCAAATGCTAACTATTAAACAGGTTCAGGGGCAGAGATTCACAAGGTTACTCAAATTAGTCAGAGATCTCTCAAGTTAAAGGAGTAGGCTCAGAAGTAAAAAGCAGGCATTTGTTTCATGAAGATATATAAGGCCTTAACATGGGGAGTTAGAAACTTATGTTATTTTCTCCTATTTATTGAGAATTCTCTAAAAAACAGTCCTAGCTAAGTTACTCTAGTTCTTCCTGTGACTTAATGGTGAGCACTATTTTCCATACCCCCTTCTCAGCTGCTGGTTCAAATATACAAAATAACCTCAGACAACTGAATGGTGTTTATTTTTTTAGCTAAGGATCAGGTCAAAGGGGTACAATTAAATAATTTTTCCAAGTACTTCTTCCTGCAAACATACACTGCCACCACCACCACCCCCTTTCCTTCTTCTACCTCAAGAATTTAATAACTAAAAAGTTGGGAGTGAAGAGTACAGGAATGGGTAGTATAGTAGGGGAGACAGACCTTAAGCCTCCACAGCGGATACCCCAAATTAGGATCTCTGTTGAAAAACCTGGTTGTTTTTGTCCCAGCACTGAGAAGATATTCGGCGGGCAGGCCTTGTGTTTGTGAAATGTAACGAATCTGAAACATCAAAACCATTAAAACACTGATTTGGAGTGGAAAGGGGAAATATTACAATATTAATATTTTATTAATATGAAATATTAAATATTAAAAATATTAAAAACTTTTACACTGAGATATTATTAGTTCTAGCCAAATCAATACAAATGAAATTTATCTGTAAATACATATAAATGCTAACCCACTCACAGGTAATTCCCAAATATTTATTCAGCTATTTCCATGTTACTGTATCTGTTATTTACAAGGAAAACTCAGTTTTGAAAACTGTGTGTGTAACCATTTTTGCTTCTCTGTAGACCTCTGATACAAAGTTCAGAAAACTTCAGGAGATTTTTAGGACAGAACAGAATAATTTCCAACAACTATCTCATGGATCACCAAGGATTTTTCTGTTTCATTTGCTGATACATTATCAAATTTAAAAGATCAGGAAAATATTTTTATAAGCTTCTTTCTTGCTTGGTTACTCTAGCTCCCTACTCTAAATTGCCATAGAGCTTTTCCCTCATACCATAAAATTAAATACTTAATTTAGTTTCTCTACCCCTTCACCACTAGGGGGCAGGCTCTGTGATAATTCAATCAACATTTACTGAATACCTACTATGAACTAAGCTAGCAGTTCTCAAAGTCTGGTCTGGGGACCGTAAGGGGTCCCCAAGATCCTTTCAGGGAGTCCACAAAGCAAAAACTTTTTATTATTTTTTAAATAATACTCAGAAGTTATCTGCCTTTTTCATTCCCTTATGGGTATACAGTAGAAATTTCCAGAGAGGATGTGTGATGATGTCATTGCTCTGATGGCTAATGAAACATGTGCTTGTATATAGTTGTGTTTTAAAAATTTCCCACTTTTATTGTTCAACATTTGTTTGCTTCCACAATTCTAATGACCCAAAAAAGCAAAAGAAGAGGTGATTTGCTTTTCTCTCCACTACTGAGAGTGATACAAGAGGCAATTTTTTTTACCACCTCTTCCATATTTGAATGGCTGTACTTAATATTAGAGAGAAACTTGTAAGCCAGGAAATAAATCTTACTTCCTCCCTCTCCCACTAAAAACTTCAGTTTTAATGTCTTTTTTTTTTTAAGTTACACTTTTTATTTTATTATTTTTTTTAAGATTTTATTTATTTACTTACTTACTTATTTGAGAGGGAGAGTACGTGTGTAAGCCGGAGTAGGGGCAGAGGGCAAGGGGGGAGAGAGGAGAGACAGAATCTCAAGCTGACTCAATGCTAAGTGTGGAGCCTGAAGCAGGGCTCGATCTCACAACCCTGAGATGATGACCTGAGCCAAAATCAAGAGTACCATGCTTAACCGACAGCCACCCAGGTGTGCCCCGTTTTAATTTCTAATGCAGTATATACTAATAGATATAAGCTATACAAACAGAGCTCTTTGGGATCCTCACTAATTTTTTAACAGTGTAAAGCAGAGGTCAGCAAACTATGGCCTATAGGCCAAATGTGGCCTGCTATCACGAGACAATTTCAGATAACAGCAGGATATTACTCTTGAATCTGTGGGAGCTACATAACGGAAGCCAATACAGCAAGAACAAAAGAGAAAAAAAATTTAATGTAGATAAGAACATTTTTAATGTGAACTTCTTTTGCGTACAAAAATGGTGAAATATTTTTTAAAATCCAGAATAAAATTTGTGCAATAAAATACTACCCAGACATTTAAAACAATAGAGTAGAGGGGCACCTAGGTGGCTCAGACAGTTAGGCCTCTGACTCTTGATTTCGGCTCAGGTCATGATCTCAGGGTCTTGAGATCGAGTCCCAGGTTGGGACTAGATGCGCTAGGCGTGGAGCCTGCTTAAGATTCTCTCTCTCCCTATCCCTCTGCCCCTCCCCACCCTGCTTGCTCACACGTGCACACTCACGCTCTCAAAATAAGTAAAATAAATAAAATGACAGAGAAGTATAGTTAATGACACATAAAGATATTTCACAATATACTAAGTAGAAAAACAGATTACAAATTAAATAATCTCACTTTTAAAAAAATTACATTTCACTGATCCTAAGAGGCACATTTTTTCACACTAACATCTTTGAAATCAAGGTATGTCCTACAACTGATAACTACATGGTTTAATTGGCAGCATTCTTTCTTACAGGTACAGAAAATTGGTGTATCTTTCAATCAATAGTGTCTTAAATATGACAAAATACAGTATATATCCTCCTCTATATCCCTAAGTTTATCATGTGGAATAGAACTATATATAGCACATATATTCATTCATTCTTTTAGTAAGTACTTATTGAGCCAGGCACTGGTGTTTTAAAAATAGACATGGTTCCTGATCTCATAAACCTTGCAGTCAAGTGAGGAAGACAGACACTGAATATTCAAACTGAATTGGCATTCTGAAAAAAAAAATAGGCTTTTATAAAAATACATAGCAAATGAACCCGAGCTAGACTGGGGACTGGTAAGGGAAAGCTCCTTGAGAAAGTAACACTTGAGCTAATAAATGAGTAGGCACTGACTAGGTGAAATGAATGGGTGGTATAGAAGCATTCCAAACTATGAGAACAGTATGTACAAGGGGCCTTTCCTGGAAGGAAGCATATTCTTTTTTTTTTTTTTTTTAAGATTTTATTTATTTATTTGAGAGAGAGAATGAGATAGAGAGAGCATGAGAGGGGGTAGGGTCAGAGGGAGAAGCAGACTCCCTGCTGAGCAGGGAGCCCGATGCGGGACTCGATCCTGGGACTCCAGGATCATGACCTGAGCCGAAGGCAGTTGCTTAACCAACTGAGCCACCCAGGCACCCAGGAAGCATATTCTTAACCAGTGCTGAAATGATGCCAATGTGCTAGAGCATGAAAATCAAGAAGAAATGGTATAAGATCAATCTAGAGAGGGGGAGAAAAAGGGGAAGGACAACCTATGTAGGGGCTCAGTGGCCATATTAAGAATTTAGCCCTTCATTCTAAAAGTATTAAAAAACCACTGAAGAGCAGGTAAGTAGCATGATCAAATTTGTGTTTTGTAAAAATTACTTTGTAAAAGAACTGGAGATCTCAATCATATTATATAAGTATTATATATTATGTATATAATTTATATATTATGTATAAAAGTATTACATAATTATTTACTTAGTTCTGTTTCCCATCACCAAACTATAGCTTCCATGAGGGCAAGTACAATGTCTTATGCAGCACTGTATCCCCAGCTCTTGATCTTGGGGTCATGAGTTCAAGCCCTACACTGGACATAGAGATTACTTAATTAAAAAGTAAATAAATAAAAGAACCTTAAAAAAAGAAGAAAGAAAACTACTATAAAAAGAGCTCAAAAACACTGCAGAATAAAAGATCAATTACAAAACTCACTGTATTTCTATACATTATCAATGAATAATCTGATAATAAAATTAAGAAAATAATTCCATTCACCACAGCATCAAAAAATAGAATACTTAGAAATGAATTTAATAAGAGAAATGTAAAACCTGTACTCTGAAAATTACAAAATGCAGCTAAAGAAAACCTAAAAAATCTGGTCACATTTATGGGATTGGAAGACAATATTCAATGCACTCAACTATTTAAACAAAACAAAACCACCAGTAATTATTTTGCAGAAATTAAAAAAAAAAAAAAAACCCCACCCTAAAATTCATATGGAATCTGAAGGACCCTGGAATAGCCAAAACAATCTTGAAAAAGAACAAAGAGGACTCGCACTTCCTGGTTTCAAAACTGACCATAACGCTACAGTAATCAAAACAGTGGGATACCTGCATAAAGATAGATATATAGATCAATGGAACAGAACTTACAGTCCACAAATAAATCACTGTATTTATGGTCAACTGATTTTTTATAAGGATGCTAAGAAAGGTAGGGAAAGAACGGTCTTAGAGCAAATGGTGTTGGAAAAATTGAATATCCACATGCAAAATAATGAAATTGAACCCCTGCTTTATTCTATGTAGAAAAATCAACTTAAAATGGCTCAAAGACCTAACTGCAAGAGATAAAACTATAAAAATCTTAGAAGAAAACATAGGAGAAATGCTTCATGACTTTGGATTTGGTAATAATTTCTTGGATATGATACCACAAGTACAAGCAACAAAAGGAAAAACAAACAAATTGGACTTCATCAAAATTAAAAACTTTTGTGCAAACAATGCTATCAACACAGTGAAAGGGCAACCCCAAGGAATGGGAGAAAGTTTTTGCAAATTATGTATCTGATTAGGGATTAATAACCAGAATATATACAAACTCCTGCAACTCAACAACAACCCAATTCAAAAATGGGCAATGGACTTGAACAGACTTCTCTGAAGACTGACTGACTGATTGATTTTTTTTGGGGGGGGGGTAGATTCGTGTGTGCAGGGGGGAGAGGGAGAGGGAGAATCTCAAGCAGATTTCTCACTGGGCACAGAACCCGACTCAGGCTTGATCTCACGACCTCAAGATCACAACCTGAGCCAAAATCAAGAGTTGGACACTCAACCGACTGAGCCACCCAGGCACCCCTTGAGTAGACTTTTCTAAAGAAGATATACAGATATCCAGTAAGCACATAAATAACGATGCTCAACATCACTAATTGTTAGAGGACTGGAAATCAAAATCACAATGAGATTATCACTTCACATCCATAAGGATGGTGGCTGTTTTATAAAAAAAGAAAGGAAAGTAAAAAAGAAAATAACTAATGTTGGCAAGGATGTAGAGAAATTGTAACTCTTGTATATTGCTGGTAGGAATGTAAAATGGTGTGACCGCTGTGAAAAAGTTTGTTTAAACATAAAATTACCATATGACCCAGCAATTCTACCTCTAGCTATATACCCCCAAAAATTGAAAACAGGAACTTAAACACTTGTATACCAATGTTCATAGCACCATTTTTCACAATAGCCAAAAGATGATAACTCAGTGTCCACCAACACATGAATGGACAAACAAAATGTGGTATACATATATACAATGGAACATTATTCAGCCATAAAAAGTAATGACGTTCTGATATAGGTTACAGCACGGATGAGAAACATGCTAAGTAAATTAAGCCCATCACAGAAAACCACACATTGTTTTGTTTTGTTTTTTTAAGATTTTACTTATTTATTTGACAGAAAGAACAGGAGAGCAGGAGCAGTGGAAGAGGCAGAGGGAGAGGGAGAAGCAAGCCCCCCGCCGAGCAGGGAGCCTGATATGGGGCTCGATCCCAGCACCCTGGGATCATGACCTGAGCCGAAGGCAGACACTTAACAACTGAGCCACCCAGTTGCTCCGAAAACCACACATTGTATGTGATAAATATGATAAACTACAGTAGGCAAATCTATAGAGACAGAAAGTAGATTAGTGGTTGCCAGGGGTGGGGGAGGTCGGGGCTGGGGGGAATGGGCATTGACTGCTAATGAGGTACAGGGTTTCATTACAGAGAGATGAAAATATTTTAAAACTGACCATGGTGATGGTTTACAGCCCTGTGAACATACTAAAAATCATGGAGTTGTACACTTTAAATGGCTGAATTATATGGTATACGAATTATATCTCAATATAAGTTGTTTTAAAGAAACTTGACTATAAGAACAGAGATCCTGCAACAGAAATCTTTGTGTATAACCAGAGATGCACCAAGATAACCTATCCACAATCCTGCTCTACAACAGCAATATCCTATTTATTCAGCATGGGAAAAACGACTTCCTCCTACCACCTACAGTTTCACATCTATGTACTAGGCAAAATCTCTCAAAACTATCAGATCATTTCTTTATTTTAAAAAACCCCAGTTGTACCTTAGCTTCTAAACCTAATTTCATTTGTTTCCACTTCCTAGGGAAATTTACAATACCAATCTGTTTACAAAAGGTTGAAGGTTGGCCTAGGAATGGCACTTGGGGGGCTGTAACTGCTCAGAGCAAGGTTTCTTAATTAGGGATCCATGAATCCCCTAAATTTGTACTCAAAACACTGTACATAAATTTTTCTGAAATGATCCATACCCATCCTTCATCAGATTCTCAAAAGGGTCTATGACCCAAAAATGAGAATCAGTGGCTTAGTTCAACCAACTGTGTCTTTGCATCATTTAATCTCCCTCACATTTTTTGTCATTGTAAAATAAGAAAGCTGGCTTCTCTCTCACGAGGTAGAAGGAAGGCTAAATTACAAAGCTCAAGGTGACCAGTTACTTATCACATGAGCAACTCACTTTTGTTTCAATCAAAGACATGCCCAAAGAGTCAAATTTTTGGAAGGTGGACCTAAAAAATGGATCAAGGAATCAAAATTCTAAGTTGAATAGGGGAAAATACTGTTTACTCTTTTTTCCTTTTAATAATTCCAGATAACCATTTATTTCTTTAAAAACAAAAAACAAAATATCCCCCTGTACCTACTATGTGTCAGAGATAATGTCAGGAGCTGAGGATACACTAGTGGAATCAAACAGTCTATGCCCATAATACAGCATAGTGATTAGAACCATTTTTTTTTTTTTTTTTAAGAACAAGAAATAAGAGGGACGCCTGGGTGGCTCAGTCGGTTGAGCGGCTGCCTTCGGCCCAGGTCATGATCCCAGGGTCCTGGGATCGAGTCCCACATCGGGCTCCTTGCTCAGCAGGGAACCTGCTTCTCCCTCTCTCTCCCTCTGCTTGTGCTCTCTCTGTCAAATAAATAAAATAAGTAAAATCTTTAAAAAAAAAAAAAAAAAGAACAAGAAATAAGAATTCACAATTTATGTCCATGGCAAAACCTTTTCCCTCAGGACCAGCTCCTTGGGAAACTGTAGCATATCCTGTAAAGCTTCTCTGTTTTGAGACATAGACCATCTTCTATTACAATACTTCTCAACTCATATGATTTCCCTCCTAAATCCTATTTTACAGAAAGCCAGTATACATCACAGCTTCCAGGGCCCAATGTGTTTCAGTATGCAGAGAGTACTTATTTCAGTATATGTCGTGTATAAGAAGAAGTAACAGCTCTGAATGAGACAAAGTTCACTCTTAAAATTCCAATTCCTCATCCTTCTTTACTTTCATATCTTAAAAACTCACAAGACACATTTGTTTAACCAAAGTCAGTCTCTAATAAAGCATGACAGATCTGGAAAAGTACCAATCTAAGGTAATATGAAATAAAAACCTTTTTAAATTGTTGAATTGCAAACATAGTATCAGACTAAGAAAGAGGTAGAGAAAATTCTAGTCTTTAAAAAATATCTTTTCTAATTGGACTACTTTTTCCCTAATATCTAAATATTTCACTAGTAAGTACTTCTCTTCCTCTAGAATCTATTTCACTAGTAAATACTTGCATTCTATTTCCATCCCAATATATACTCTTACCTGATCATATTCTGAAGCACCAGGGTAAAGAGGCCATCCCAGGAACAGCTCAGCTATCACACAGCCCAGTGACCACATGTCAATAGCTTCACAAAATGGTAATCCAAGAATAATTTCAGGGGCTCTAGCAAAAACAAAAATAGCAAATTAAAAAACAAACATTATTCAGGGAAATTAACTATTGACTAAGTCCTATTTTAGTATTAGCTCATTGTACATATTGATTTAAAGAAACTGAAAACTATCTTAGATATAAAATCCATCATTTGGGGCCAGATGTGTTTTGGAATTGAAAATTTTTTTGAATTTCAGAAAGGTATCACCATGCATAAAGCTACATATTGCACAGTAATCCCAATGGAGTTTATTAGGGAAGTACCCCATAATCGGACACATTAATATTTCCACAACGAAACAAATGAACAGTCATACTAAGTTGGCTAAATAAAGACTTTAAATAGCCTTACATTGGTTCAAGATAGATTTTGCCAATAAATGAGCTTAAACCAAACTTAGAAAAAGTTCTTTAATTTTGAAATCACAGATAAGGGATCACAAATTTATTCTTTTTATTCTTAGCACCTTTTTAATTATAGAAAAATCAATTAAATGACCTGATCAATAAGTACCCCTTGGTAACAGAAATGCCTTCCTAGAGATATAGTGATCGAAAACACTATAGAAATATTCACTTGCATTAATGTTCCAAGTGAGAAACCTAACCCTAGGGGGCCTTAAAGAGAAGACTAAGATAATACCATAAACTAAAAACTTTATATATATACACACACACACACACATATCCAAGGTATAATTATTATCCTCACTTATAGAGGAAACTGAGGTAAACAGAGTAAGTAATTTGCCCAAAATCACAGTTAATAAGTGGAAGGGCTAGAATTTGAACCCTGGCAATCTGGTTCTAGAGTTGTACCGTACTGTCTCCAAGTAAGTAAAAGTTGTATATATCCACCTATATAAATCTATCTGGCATGGTGGTACATGGCATTTTTCAAACCGTGACTAAAATTATGAGCTAAATGGGTTTAAAAGGGGGAAGATAAATAATAACAGGCATTACTAATATCGATAATAATAAAAGATGACACTTATATAGTGCTTACTCTGTGCCACGCACTGTTCTAAGTTCTTTACAAATGTGGTCACTTACCCCTTACAACAATTCTACGAATGTAGATATTACTACTGTTAAGCCATCAATTCTTATTTTTTTTTTTAAAGTAGACTCCATGCCCTGCATGGAGCCCAGTGCAGGGCTTGAACTCACAACCCTGAGATCAAGACCTGAGCTGAGATCAAGTCGGACGCTTAACCGACTGAGCCACCCAGGCGCCCCAAGTCATCACTTCTAAGATGCATGGGTTTTTTTTTCATATTTTAACACTCTAAAGTCAAGAAGATTCTTGCAAATGATGATGTTTTTTAGCTTAATGGCAGTGATTTTACTTTCTTAATATGAAACATAAATGTTTCATCTTTTAATCAGTGGTATCTTAGATGCTATGTAATAAAGTATCCTTTCCATTTTACAGATGAGAAGTTAAGTAACTCACCCAAGGCCACACAATTACTGAATGATGGAGCGCAAGCAATCTGGATCTAAGGGCTGAGCTCGTAAACATTTTATCATCATCTCCAGACAATTTCCTTCCTTCTTACAAGTCACAGAATTGGAATCTGTAAGGGCACACCAGATCCAGACCCCTCGGAAGATTTCTCTCCCCAAGGAGCCCTCTAATGGGCTGTCCCCCCCTCATGGAGTGCCTAGGTTTGTCCAACTTCGAGGTATTATGTGCACATTGTTGCTCTGGGGCAGGTAGGATTGAGCAGGGAGTGTATAAAGATTTTTCTCTAAATAAGAATATCCTCCCCCAAGTAATTTTCTAAGTAAGCAGCCCTTAGAAAATAAGGTAAATTAGAGGACTTCATAGGATCTAAAGGCTTTCCTGATCCTAGTACAGAAATAGCAGAAGAATGATCCAGACCTGCTGAGACTTTCACTATTTGACAGCTATCAGTGGAAGGACTAATATCACCAATTTTTATACTAATTGATGTGAACTGTGGTTTTGTTAGCCAAAGAAACAAACTTCAAAAGGGATATTCCTGTTGCAAGTGGCTAGGGCCACATATTACTGATGGAGTTTCAGAGTTTAATTAAATCCCAACCACTGCAGCATGTTTTTAAGATGGCACAAGTTTAATAGCATTAATAAACTAGAGCGTAAGAGTATCCAGAAACATAAAAGCTTTTCTAAAATTGAAAAGGGACAAAATTTTTACTTTCAGTGAGCAGAATCATTAATTTCCAAGTTCATGACAGTGCCAAAAATAGCTGGCAGGGAGAATGCAAATGGCTTTGTGCCAAAATAAAAACTGGGCTTAGAACATTTCTAAGCATCAATTGAAGAGCAACAGATTTGATTTTGCCATTCCCACTATACCAGGAAGACATTTTAAAATCCAAAGGTAGGTCATAGGGAGGGGGAGGCCACCCAATAACTTACTTCTTTAAAAAGGTAGCAATAATATGTGATAATTGTTAGGCATCCAACGCTTAAAGTTTCAGAGAAATTAAGAAAAAGACTAATTCCAGCCCCCAAGCCCCATTAGACAAAAAAACCCCTAAAGACTGGCTGGAATCAGTTTTTCCATTTGGTTTCACTCTGCTTCTGGAGTAACGAAAGCAGATAAGGATTTCCAGCAAAAACTCACTTAAAACAGTAACTCTACTACATCTACCATACAAAAAGGTGAGTATCAAAGGAGGAAAAAAAAACCAATGAAAGTAAAAATAAAATAAGGTTGCTCAGTCTATTGAGGGCTTTTCACTATCATTAGAAACTAGAAATGCTGACTGACCTAAACTCTAAGAAGCAAAAAGACTGAGGTTATTTTCTTTTACTGAACAGAACAGAACAGAACATTTAAAGCAGGTTCATCTCCAAAGACTGAATGTTTTAAACTCTGAATTCAGAATATAATTCTTGGTACTATCTTCATTACTATATCATCTTTCCCCTTGGCCTCCATTATTTCTCAATCCCTCAATATAAACTCTCAACACTAAAATTCTGCTTCTACTTCATCTGTATAGGGAAGCTGAGTGAGGTTAATTACTCTTCTAGGTCCCTTTCCAGCTTTGACATTCTAACAACTGGACATTTAAAAAAGATGACCTACAGAAGCACAAGAGAAGAGGGGGGAAAAAAACAAACTGGCAGTATTCACTTTTGTAGGAAAATGGCATTAATTGTACTTTGGACATAGTGGGTCCCCTCTTTGAAAATACATCCCATCCTTAATGAACAAATACTAAACGGGCTCTAATGACTACAACCACGTAGCAGAAATAGCAATCCTTGCCTTTTGATTTTCCAACTTCAAATTTTTTTTTTTTTAAAGATTTTATTTATTTGACAGAGAGAGAACACAGCGGTAGAGGGAACACAAGCAGGGGGAGTTGGAGAGGGAGAAGCAGGCTCCCCACGGAGCAGAGAACCCGATGCGGGGCTTGATCCCAGGACCCTGAGATCATGACCTGAGCCGAAGGCAGACGCTTAACGACTGAGCCACCCAGGCGCCCCTCAAATCTCTTTAAACTAAAAAATTCCTCCAAAGTCATAAAGCGTTATTTCATTAGAACGTGGAACAAGCTCCAGTTAGAATCACTTAACAGCACAAATTAATCTCTGCTCAATGTCATGAACACTCTTGTTTCTTCCTGCCCATCTCAGAGGCATCAAACTTACCAGATCAGAGATGTTACATAAAGCCTAACTTCCTGCATCTGTGGCTTAGGTGAAACTATAGTATGTTTATTTGTCTAGGATAAACTGAAAATATGCTTTCTTTCTCTAGCCCTTGTCCTTCCATACATAACAAATATAGTGATCTTAACTTTAGTAAAGCCAGCTAGTTTGTTCAGAATGGAAAAGCACTGAGCTTGTAAGCACGGCAAACCCTTGTGCCTAAACTCAAACCCCAAAGACAGCAACTTCTTTGGAAGTAGTCTACATCTACATTATAGTGGCCAGGAAATAAAGTATATTATTTCCATTGCCTAAGGCATTTAGCCATGCCCATGACCAACAGAGACAGTATGGTGGCAAAAATTTATGTCAACTGATAATATTTTGGCATGTTATCAAGAGGATGAAGCAATGTAAACTAAAAAGGAAGGTAAGGAGAAGTCTGGCTTTGGAGCCAGGATGCTTCACTGGCCAAAGGGATTTCACAGAGGTTTTCTGAAAGACACCAGGGTGAGGACTTAACAGACTCTAAAAGCAACACAAAGAGGACCACTGTGGATAAAACTAACGGTAAAGAAGGAATGCCTGAGCTGCTATTCCATTGGCCTAAGGTTCATTATCAAATATTACTGTGACACTAGAGAATACTCATGTTAAATCCTAAATGAAAAAAAAATCCTAAATGTAGTCAAGCCCTGGACATTGAACTTCAGTATGCATAGTAATTAATCAGTAATACGCAGAAAGAACTCCTGTTTTTAAGGGGTAAACTGAGCTCCATTCACAATTACTCCTCTAGTCAAGAACTAAATGCAATGGATTTGCAGGATGATTCGCTGAAGAGTAATTACCAATGGACTTAAAAATCTGAAAATCTTATTTCCTATAAAAACAAAACATAATTGAATTACTCAAATGACGTCTTAAATTAAATTAAAAGGATAGGGCGCCTGGGTAGCTAGCTCAGTTAGTTAAGCGTCTGCCTTTGGTTTACGTCATGATCTCAGTGTCCTGGGATTGAGCCCCATGCCAGCCCCATGCCGGGCTCTCTGCTCAGGGGAGTCTGCTTCTCCCTCTCACTCTCCCTATGTGCTCTCTCTCTCTAATAAATAAAATCTTTAAAAAAAAAAAAAAAATGAATCAAGGTGCCCCTGGGTGGCTCAGTCAGTTAAGCATCTGCCTTTGTCCTGGGATCGGGCCCCACACAGGGCTTCCTGCTCAGCAGGGAGTCTGCTTCTCTCTCTCCCCGCTGCTCGTGCTCTCTCTCTCTCTCAAATAAATTTAAAAAAAAAAAAAAAAACTTAAAAAAAATACATCAAAAGGATAGGAAAAGGGAAAGGGGCAAAGATCAGCAACCTAACAATGAAAATTATTCGAATGAATTATTTATTAGAGAAAGCTAAGCAGCGGGAACTATTTACCCCCCAAATCTCCTTTACCCTTTAAGAGAAAATCCATCAAAATTATTTCACAAAATAATTGTTATTTCTATCGCTTTTTCAATCTTAACATTGCTTCCGTTACCACAAGACAAGGCAAATAGTTAAAGAACACCTGCAGGCACTGCCTAGAGAAGAGATCAAGAAGCAAGAGCTGATCAGCCTCCACACCCCTCAGCAGTGCCCTCCCTCCTACCTCCCCAATGCTCCAAACGAGATGCAGAACTGAGCTCTTAAGTGCACCTGTAGAGCGTTTCTGTATATATACCTGAGTGGGTGGTGGTGGGATTGCTCAAAGGAGAATACTAAAAGAAAAAGTAATTGGAACCTAAATCTTCCAAGTTGTGAATAACTAACTGAAGGTAAGATTCTCAAAATTAGCCAAACTGCCTAGAGCAACATGAAACGAGAAACCAAGGCTATAGGAACCTCTTTACTCCATCTCACTCAAGTAAGAAATAATCAGAGTTTTACAAAACTATAAAAGGAAAAGAGAAAAACAGAGAAGAGTGGATTGGAAGACGTAATGTTGTGAAAATGTCATTACTACCTAAAATGATTTACAGATTCAGAGCAATCCCTTCAAAAACCAATGACATTTTTTACAGAAATAAAAAATCCATCCTAAAATTCATACAGAATCTCAAGGGACTCTAAATAGTCAAAACAATCTTGAAAGAGAATAAAGCTAGAATCTCGCACTTGTTGATTTTAAAACTTACTACCAAGCTACAAGTAATCAAGACAGTGTGGTACTGGCATAAAGACAGACATACAGACCAATGGAATAGGAGAGCCAAGAAATAAACCCTTGTATTTATGGTCAATGAATTATGACAAATGTCAAGACCTGTCAATAGAGAAAAGATAGTCTTTTAAGCAAATGGTTCTAGAAAAACTGAATATCCACAGGCAGAAGAATGAAATTGGACCCCTACCTTATGCCATATATAAAAATTAACTTAAAAATAGACCAAAGATCCAAATACAAGAGCTATCTATGTCTATATTTATGTTCTTTTAAATAGCTAAAAATTATAGAACTCTTATAAGAAAGCAAAGCAGAAAAAGTTTCATGACATTGGTTTGACAATGATTTCTTACATATAACACCAAAAGCAAAAGCAACAACAAAAAAAAACAAATTGAACTTCATTAAAATTTAAAACTTTTGTGCAAATACCATTGACAAAGTGAAAAGGCAACCCCATGGAATGAAAGATATATTTGCAAATCATCTATCTGCTGAGGGATTAATACCTAGAATATATAAAGAACTCTTACAATGCCACAAAAAAACAATCCAATTCAAAAATGGACAAAGGATTTGAATAGACATTTCTCCAAAGATACACAGATGTCTGACAAACAAATGAAAAGATGCTCAACATCACTAATCATTAGGGAAATGCAAATAAAACCCCATGAATACCATTTCACACACGGAAGGATGACTATTATCCCCCCAACTTCAAAAAAACAAAAACAAGTGTTGATGAGGAGGCGGAGAAACTGGAATCCTCATGCACTGCTAGTGGAAAACAATTTGGTGGTTCCTCAAAAAGTTAAACACAGAATTACCATATGATCCAGCAATTCTACTTTTAGCTATATACCCAAAAGAATTGAAAACAGGGACTTAAACTCTTGAACACTAATGTTCTTTGCAGCCTTGTTCATAATAGCCAAAAATGTGGAAACCCAAGGGAATGGATAAACAAAATATAGTACATACATGCACTGGAATATTATTTAGTCATGAAAAGGAATGAAAGTCTGATACATTTTATAGTATGGATTAATCTTGAAAACATTATGCTAAGTGAAATAAGCCAGACACAAAGGGACAAATATTGCATAATTCCACCTACACGCAGTATCTAGAATAGGCAAATTCATAGAGACACAAAGTCAAACAGAAGTTACCAGGGGTAGGGGGAAAGGTGGAGTTATTGCTTAATGGTTACAGAGCTTCTGTTTTGGGTGATGAAAAGAATTTAGAAATAGTGGTGATGGTCATACAACACTATGAATGTACTTAATGACACTGAATGGTACATTTAAAAATGGTTAAAATCGTAAACTTCATGTTAGGCAGATTTTACACAATTAGAAAAAATATGTAGATGGCACATGTGAGTCTTGTACAGGTTAAAATATCCTTCTATTATTTTCACACATAATATATGGAATTCTAAGCTCAGACTTTCTATTTACTCAAAATTTAATAGAGGCTTTTGACAGATTAGACATATCTCCTGATAAACACGTATTGTGGATTACCTATTTTTTTTTGTTTATTGTTTTACTTCTTGATTGGGTGAGTGGACAATTTGTATTTAATGATCATTAAAATTAAGTATCAGATTCCTTAAAATTAGTAACTAGACAAGTAAATAAATGAGGTATTGAACAATAAAAGCTCATTTAAGAAGACTTGCCCCTTTTCTTTCAGTAAATCTCCTTGGTTATAGCACAGACAACATTGTAATATACCAGCATTTAAGAACTATCCCAATAATTATTACATATTAAAAAGGTAGCTTTGTTAGAAGTATCAATCTGGAAATATAAATCACTAAAATATAAAGCACTTGGGTCAAGGACATTCTAGGATAACCAAAGAAGGTCATAACTGAATAAGTTAGAACTATTATGGAGATGTTAAAACAGGAAGAGCCCTTAGCAATCATCAAATCCAATTCTATTACAAAAGAAAGAAAACGTCAAAGAATGAAATGTTGCTAGAGTTAAACCTGGAATTATTCCCAAACCATTTTACCTGCCAAGAAAGGAACTTGGAAAAAGTAGCAGCATATGCCCAAATTCATTACAAATAAGTAAACATCTTTATATTTGTAAAGACTCTTTAAAATGGAAAATTAGGCATAATGGTACTAAAGAAGGAACCAGATGCTAGTATAATTCAACTAGGAACAAGCTTCAGAATCGAACTGAATTAATTTTTCTAGTCTTAAATAAAAACTTCAGAAATAAAATAATGTTACATATAGGAATGCCAGACAAGGAATAAAGTAAAACATATTATCCTATTCTACCTTGGAATCTGTAAATAAATTCATTGTTTTCTGTATGTAGCTCTATGTAATATATGTTAAATGTAAAGACAGATCTCTAGTCTAAGATATGCTTTTTAGCATTTGTCACTTGCCTGTAGTAACGTGACTGTAAGTAGGTTGAGCACACAGCTTTGGAAACGTGACTAGCAGAACCAAAGTCAATGACCTTCACTCGGTAGGGTTGGCGCACTGGATCGACCAGCATTATGTTTTCAGGCTTAAGGTCAGCGTGAATCAGACCAAGGCTCTTGAGCTTCATCAGGGCTGTGGCCACCTGCTGCAAGATTGGTCTGATGTACTTGAGTGGCAGTGGGCTAAACTTGTTCTGCTTTAGAAAATCATACAAGTTCTGCTCCAGCATCTCAAACACAAGGCAGGTGTGATTCTTATGCTGAAAGCACTCATAAGAACGGACAAAATTATACTCATCAGCATTTTCACTGCTTAGGCGAGAAAGGATGCTCACTTCAATCTGTCCCTGTCTGGCATAGGAGGGGTGGTTCTTCAAGATTTTAATAGCCACGATTTCCTTAGTGCTCCGCTTCCAGCACTTAGCCACCTGTCCAAACGTTCCCCGGCCTAGAAACTCCAACACTTCATAGCTATTGGTCATAGAGCAAAGGATCTCATGCTGGACCAGCTGGTAATCCCCTTCTCCACTGGAACTGCTACTCTTTGTGGTCACAGTGGTGGTCGTGGCAGCAGCACCCACCACAGTCCTGTTTTGCAGCATGAGAGGGGGATGTTCTTCTATGATTTGCACGCTACCGTTGCTGTCAACTTCCTCACTTTTTCTTTTCAATCCACATTTTTGATATGGCTCAAGCAAAGAAACGTTGTTTCTGTGAGTCAGGGTCTGGCTGCTTTGGAAGGTTGATGGAGCAGCACTGGCCGAGCTATCAGCAGCTGTTACAACAATATGCTCCACTGCAGGAGCTGGGAGGAGGAGGCCCTGGTCGTAAGCAGGGATGTTGAAATTTGCTACCTGGTGAGAGGAGTTGGCTTGCCCTTGTGTGGCTGGGAGGGTTTTGCTGTGGGTATAATATTTGTCGTTGCTGCTCTGTCCAGAAACATCCCAGCCAGAGGGCTCTATTTTCAGTTTCTTCGCACTGCAGAAGGCACTCGACGACACTGATGGGGGGGAAAACACCTGCAGCTGTGATGCCATACCTACGTTGAGAGAGAGGAAGAATTAGACCCTCAATTTTACACAACCCCTCAACTAACAGATCAGAAAACTTTTAGTTTTGAAAAACCACAAGTAAAATATACCTATCTGGCTGGGGTTTTATTTTATACATTTTCCAAAACACGTTTCCTATTACAGAAGATCAACTTTTTGGTCTACTCACACACCCTTAATCACTCTTTGAGACTCAGCAACAGGTAGTATTGTTAAAAGAGCATGAACATCTATTATGGTTAATAAAATAATAACCGTAATAATAATAATAGCTTAGATGACTGATCACTTACTATGTGTCAAGCAGTAGTAGCTTTGCGCAGTGGCAGTATCGTAGCCAATGAGGTTTATCCGAGGCGCGATTATTGCTAATTGAAAACTATGTGTCAGGTAGTCGTCTAAGCACTTCACATGCATTACTCATTTAAAATTTGTCACCACAACTCTTTGGAAAAGATACTATCATTATTTCCACTTTACAGATGAGGAAACTAAGATACAGAGTAGTTAAAGTAACTTGCCCAAAATAGCAGAGCTATTAAGTAGCAGCACTGGAATTCAAACCCAGGCTCTTTGGCCCCAGAGCTCATTCCACAGCTCTGTGTTCACTCCTGCCCTGATGAGCTTTTTGATCAATTATTTAAATTTAGACATAGATGGCACACTTATAAAATTTACAGAGGAATCATTTGGACAGGATACTCAATATATTGCTAAGTAACAGGTCCAAAAAGACCACAATAGGGTAGAAACTACAAGACAAATCGAGCAGATGAAATTGAACACAAATATAGAATCCTACGTAGTCCAAACAAAGTATGACTAGCACAAAGCACAAGGATAAGAAATACAAGGTCTAGGAGGAGCACATGTATTTGAAAAACACTTTCAGCTGGTAAGAGAAACATTATGTAGTAATGCTCCCCCCACCACCACCAAAAGCTAATTCAATCTTAAACTACATTCATAGAGGGGTGCCTGGGTGGCTCAGTTGGTTAAGCGCTGCCTTCGGCTCAGGCCATGATCCCAGGTCCTGGGATCAAGCCCCGCATCGGGCTCCCTGCACAGTGGGAAGCCTGCTTCTCCCTCTCCCTCTGCCTTCTGCTCTGCCTATCTGTGCTCTGTCTCTGTCAAATAAATAAATAAAATAATAAAAAAAAACTACATTCATAGACAGTGTCCAGAATGTACTGGACAAAGCGAAGGCTATTTACTCTGCTCAGTTAACTATTTTAATAGTGTCTAGCTCTGTCCACACTACATTGTAAAGAGGACCACTGATAAAATGACCAGAAGAAAGTAATCAAGATGATGTGAGCCTATTGAGAGGATCTTCTGAAGAACTACAGGAAGTTACTCTTAGAAAAATATGGAGAAAGGGCGTAGAACAGCCCAGCTTTCTGTCCCGGAATATCCCATAAACACCTCAAGCCCAATAAACCCCAAGACTCCCAAAGCTAATACTTTCAGAAAAAAGTTCAAACAACTGACATAGCATACAAGCCATTTCCTATTTATCTTCTCCCTTCTCAACCATATAACCCTCAGATGCCTGGGGGCTCTATATTAATTCTTCTTCTCTTATCCATACTTTCCCCCTTCCCAATAACTACCTTCCCAGGTTTAGTCATCTGCAAAAGATTCTCAAATCTTTATTTCTACCCCAGACTTCTCTCTCCTGAACTCCAAATTCTTATTTCCAAATAACCACTCCACACTGCAATTTGGATATCTTGCTGACATCTCAAATTTAACATGTCCAAAATTAAACTTATGAGCCTCCACCCCACCCCTAGTCTTCTGTCTCAATTATGACACCACCATATATACCCAACATCTCAAGCCAAAAATCAGAGAGGCAATGAGTCTGTTTCCTCATCTATAAACTGGTGATAATAATACCTACCTCATGGGGTTATTCTGAGAATTAAATTATTTAATATATGTAAAGTGCTCAGTGCCTGGAATTCATTTAGTATTATTATCCTGACTCCTCCTCCTCCCTTACTACTCTAATCTATAACCAAATCTTACCAATTCTACCTCCTAAGTATATTTCAAAATCAGCCATTGGGACCAATCTAGTTCAAAGAGCCAGTAGCCAGTAGCCTCCAACTAATCTTGAATGCACTCTGGGGATCTTTGTTTTTAAACTATGCAAATCAGATGACTGCTCTTTCTTTCTTAACCACCTTCTTCCCCCTGCCTCCAGGGTTTTCCACTGCTTTGTGGATAAAATCCAAAATCCTCAATCTGCCTTAAAAAGCTCTCCAAAAATCTGGTTGTTGTCTTCCAAAATCTCCCCACCTTGATTCCTCCATTCCAGCCATACTGCCCTTTTCAGTTCTTGGAAGGCCCTCTGATGTGTTGAAGATTTTCTTCTGGGAAAACCATTCATTCACATACACACACACACACCCACCCACAACTACCACCATCCCCTCCCCCCCCACCACCGTGCACTCCCATAGCATTTTGTTTCTCCCTTACAACTCGAAATTATTCATTTAATGTTACTCACATTTCCAGCTACAGTGTAAGTTCCATGATAGGTACTGTATCTGTCTGTCTTGTTCTTTGCTTATCACCAGGAACTACCACAGAGACTCTGGCAATATTCAGACACGCAGTATTTGTTGGATGTTTTTGACCCCTGCCTACCAACTTATATCTACTCCCTACCACTCAAACTGCAGGATTTTCAAATGCTTGCTTTTATTTTTCAAATGTCCCTCCCTTTTACCTGTGCAGTCTTTGAGATATAGAGGGAGTCTCCTATACTACACATAGTATAATTTTACTAGTCATAAGAGAATAAACAAGCACAACAAGAAAGGAAGGAAGTGTGACAAAGGATTGTTACAGAACATAAAAAAGCAATGTGTACATTTCTTTGTGCCTGAATGCAACTAAAAACCATCTGCACTGGACTAGACAGCTGGAACGAAGAACAAATCCCCAGCCTTCAATTTCTAAGATGTGGTCTGGATTTACTTTAAACAAGAGTTTCCATAATTTATGTGAACCCTGAAGAGAAAAAAGTGTAAATTAAAAGCTAAAGCCAGTGCAATTTAACTACAAGGCTACAAATTTACAAGTCCTCTTGTTCAGCCTATATCGCTGACATAATAACAAATTAAAAGAAAAATGTGAAACCAAGTAGTACCTTTACAAAATTTACCTATTAAAATACATGCAAAAGTACTTCTCATCTATCATAAAACTGAGCCAATTTTTGAACAATGAAAGGAAGCAAATTTTTGAAATTTGTTTTCCATTGCGTATCTGTTCAGCTACTAATTTTAACAATCTATCAAGAAACAGGAGCACAACCTTTATGTGCCTAAAAGTATTTGATAAATGAAATGAATGCAAAATTTGCAGTTTGTAGCTATGTCTAAGAATATGAAAGCTTAAAGTAATAATACTGAAAAGAATTCATGAAGTATAATACCAAATTTTTAAAAGTATGTTCATAACTAGACACCCATTAAAATATTGCATTTACCAGAGTAATGTTATGGACAACTTTTCACCCAATAAACAAAATAACAGATACTGATGGTTTCAAATCTTCACAGCAAGCACTGCAAAATGCACAAGTTCTAGGAATTTTTCTCTAAGTTTAAGTATATAAACAAATGCAATTCTTATTCAGTAAGACAAACTTTTAAGTCCACCCACAGGGAAAGAAAAACCCAGAATTTCACTGGCCTTCCCCACAGTAAGGGTGTGTGGTACTTAAGTCAGTTTCATGCCAGTATGGCTGAGACTCATCCTGACCTCAACCAGCACAAGGTGAGAAGAAAATACATAATCAAAACTGCCTGGAAAAATCAACACTCTTGGGGCACCTGGGTGGCTCATTTGGTTAAGCATCTGCCCCCAGGTCATGATCTCAAGGTCCTGGGATTGAGCCCCATGTCAGGCTCCCTGCTCAGTGGGCAGTCTGCTTCTCCCTCTCCTTTTGCCCCTCCCCGCTGCTCATGTTCTCTCTCTAATAATAAATAAAATTTAAAAAAAAAGAAAAAGAAAAATCAACACTCTTAGCTATATGACACCCTGAAATTCAGCTAAAAGCAGCCATTTCTAGACATAAGATAAAGATACTATGTTCCATAAAACCTGCCTTTGCAAAGTGGGGAAGCAATTTTCTTCCTAGGGTGAGGCCTCCCAAACAAAATTATGGAACAGAATTAACATCTGTGGAAAACTTACTATGTATCAGACTCTGTTAAGAATATTCTCAAATAGCAGGAGAGCAGCTCCCAATAAATTAAAAAGTTACTTCTGACTTCCTGAAAATGTTGCACCTCTTGACTCTAGTAATAAACTGGTCTTTTCATTTCAAACCTGACTTTCCATTTAAATATACTGACAAATTTGGCCACTGCATGCATTAATCGGGAACTAGAACTAACAGGCAAAAGGTTACTAGTACTCGCACTTATTGCTAAAGAGAACTAAGTCTTGCTAGAACCTAAGGCTTTCAAAAACAATCAAATTAAAGGCTTCCCCACTCCCTGCCGTGGTCACATCTATCAAACACTTACAGAGTGCCCCACATTATGGGCACTATAGGTAGGTAATATTACTACAAATGATTCAAATATTATAACTATGAATGGAACAGTTGGTTATGACAACCAAGGTAATAATTTGTCAGTGTTTTGCCCTTACTCTTCAGGTAACTTCCATCTTCCACATCAATAATAAATTCCTACTGCTTTCACTTAGCATCATCTTTGCCTCTTTGATACAATTTAACAATTGGTGACCTAAATAACCTAAAATCAGTACTGTATATTGATTGCTTCCTCTGGCACTTGTCCTCAGCGGATGTGTACACAGATATACATCTTCTCCAGCACGCTGATACATAAAGAATATTCACATCATTAAAGTAGGTAAATAAGAAAACACATTCTGTAAAAATAAAGCAAGGAGTAGTTTTGGGAAGAAAACTCCTTCACCACAACACCATCTATCTCTCCACTCCACCCATTTTTCTCCACCCCTGCTGACAATCCTGGACTATTTCAACAGCCTAACTTGCTTCCCCCAAATGGTACTCTCAAGCCCCCTTTTTAAACTCCCTTCTCCCAACTCATTCTTTACCTTACAACTGAAGCTTTTAAAAATGCTTATCTGTCTTCTGCTTAAAACCTTGAGATAAAGTCCGAGATCTCTAAATTTCCAGTAGCACTAAATTTCTCTGGGTTCCTAGAGTAGGCCTTATTTCTCCCATCTTAGTTCCTTCACACATAATAGTCCCTCTCTGAACTTCATTGAACCCTCCTAGTCTTCTCTTTTTCTAACTTCTACTTATCCTGTTAATCTCCATTTAAACCTCACTTTTTTCAGTGTTGTATAGGCTGTTGGTTTGGATCAAAATCTACTCTCTCCTTCACCCCAGGCACATGGCTATGTTCACCAGCCCCTCTCACCAACAGACAGAGTGATGTGTGGGTTAGCTTTTTGTGTTCCTTTCCATTTCCACCAGCAGAAACCCATGGAGACCCAGCTTCCACCATGAAACAATGCTCAAGGGATGACAGAGCAATAAGATGGAAAGAACTGTCTCTGAATGATCCTCTAAGAGCAGAGCCACCTGCCCACCAAGAATGCTCACTTCAACCTGGAACATTTACTTCAGGCTGTTACACGAAAGAAAAACTGATTTCCTAGGTTATGTATGTTTTAGTCAGCCTTATGCTGACAAATAACACTCAGAAAGCCTTGCCCGGATCACTTTGTACTAGCTTAGGTTTCCTGGTAAAGGCTCCCACAGCATCCTGTACTACTTCTTAGTACTTACCACACTTGTACTTATTTATGTCATTTACTCATTTAACAAACATATATTGAGTACCTAGTCTGTCTGCCCAGCACTGTTCTAGAAACTAGGGATAACAGTGGTGTTCCAGAAGGACAAGATTCCTTGTCTCCCGGAATTTAACTTTCTTCTGGGAAGACACACACACACCCCCAAGAAAACAGTAGCTATTGATAATGCTATGATGAAAACAAAACACAGTGATGTGACAGAGACGGTGGGAAGGGCAGAGGTACTCTAAATTTGGTGGTCAGGAAAGGCCTTGTAAGGTGGTAGCACTTAAGCTAAGATATAACTCACAAGAAGGAGCCATTCCAGTGAATGACAACAGTTAGTGCCAAGGCACATTCTTGGCCTATTTGAATAGAACAGGAGAGAAAATAATAGAAACAGGGCCCAAAGAGACAGACAAGGGCCAGATCACATATTAACTCATGAGGCCACCCTAAATGTTATTCTAAGCATGACTATTTAAAAGTTGACTTCTCAGGACGCCTGGGTGCCTCAGTCGGTTAAGCGTCCGACTCTTGATTTGGGCTCTGGTCGTGATCTCAGGGTTGTGAGACTGAGGCCTGTATCAGGTTCCACGCTGGGTATGAAGCCTGCTTAAGATTCTCTCTGTCTCTCTGCCTCTCCCCCCCCACCCCCAAAAAAGTTGACTTTTCTTAAACTGCCAGTTCTGTGAGGGCAATTCTCAATACCAGAGTAGGTGTCTTTTTTTTCTTTTTGGTATCACCAGCATCTATCACATATGGTAGGTGTCAAATGTTTGTTAGAATAAATGACTAGAAAGAGATCATTACTGCTCCATATATAAACATAAGGGGATCTCAGGTGTCATACTGACTAAGTTAGAGAAATAGTCAAGTGAAATAGAAATTATAGTCTCTTGCCTACGAGAGAAGACCTAAATTAGTTTTCTAAGTATAGTGATACATGAAGGAAAAAATAAGCGTGAAACCCTAAGGACACCATTTGAATGGAAGTTCCCCACCCCTTTCCTGTAACACTTTCCTTCATAAGGAACCAACAAGCCAATTGCCCAACCAGTATGCAAAGAGAGGGCGTGGAATAAGTGGTGTTAGCTGATGATAGAGTAACCCTACAATTCTATGTAATTTACAGCCATATAATCAATATTTTGTAATATTTTGGTAAACTAGCTGATGGGTGCTTTCCTTCTAGGCAGGATATCTTTTCCTAAATTTCAATCACTCTGCTATTTATTTGGAATGATGACTCTATAGCTACAGAACAAAAGAAAAGTAGGTGTTTTTTATATTTGGTAAAAAGGTACGATCTTGGGGGGCACCTGGGTGGCTCAGTCTTTAAGCGTCTGCCTTCAGCTCAGGTCATGATCCCGGGGTCCTGGGATCGAGCCCCGCGTCGGGCTCCTGCTTCGCGGAAAGCCTGCTTCTCCCTCTCCCACTCCCCCTGCTTGTGTTCCCTCTCTCTCTCTCTCCTCCCTCTGTCAAATAAGTAAATAAAATCTTTAAAAAAAAAAAAGGTATGATCTTGGTATGTGCACCCAACAGTTTACAAGGCCTATAAAGTTTAGAATGAAGAAAGCTGTACCTCGAGAAGTTTCAAGCATAAGGAAAACGTCAAATTAACAAAGCATACATCAATATGGAACATAAACGTTGAGATGACCCTGTTTAGATCAGTCAGCAAAGGCCTAAGGAAAATAGGACTTTAAATAAGGTAACAACACTTTGGCAGATGGAAGGCAGAATAACTTCTTTCAGATAAGTGAGATAACTTTTGCCAGTATGCCAGGGAATGTGGCAACATGAAAAACTGTTTCAAGTAAGGAGATGTACTTGACTGAAGCAGAAGACACTGGCAAAAAAGTACAAGGATTCTTACAGCTAAACCAGACCTTATGAGACTCTTTCCAAAACCCCCTAATTCCAAGATGAGAAAAAGGAGACCCAAGAAAGGCAAACAAGTTTTACATAGAGCTAATGAGTAGCAATGCTGGCAAAGAATTCAGGTCTTCTGATTCTTTTTCATTAAGCACTCTGGGAAAGCACTATACCTACCAGGTGCCCTTAAAAAATCCAAAAGAAATATACATAAGTTTCCCTATCTTCAAAGAATTTAGAATGTTACTTAGGTGATGTAACACAAAAAAAAAGAAAGAAAGAAACAAAAACAGGATGTAAGTTTTTTTACAGAGCCAAATTATGCTCTACAAAAATACGTAAGTCATTTAGGGAGCTGGGAAATTAGGAACAAAAAAGGAACCAAAAAGCAAATCAGTGATTGTTGAAGTGGTACTTGAAGGAAAAATTATTTTGATGGCTTGTGCTCAGAATTGCACGAAACCTAAGGGAAGAAACTGGGGAGAAATTAATAACTAACTTGAAAAAAAAAAAAAAGCTAAAAAAACATGGATTGCTTTGTACAGTCGTGAAAATGAACATAAAAGGGCAGATCAGGAAGTTCATGTTTGCAAAATTACTTCACATTACAAAAGGACCAGTTACAATATACAACTAACAACAAGTTGTGCAAGTTCCAAGTGTAAGAAGTTTACAAGGCAGGTTTGGCTCACTGATTTCTCCCAACAGAACCACTGACTGAGCTGTGCTTATGAAAACAAAACCACAGAATGAAGAAATTCTATTTTCCAGAGAATTGTGAATTTTGAGATTATCTTTTTTTCTTTTAGGAGGGAGTTCTGGTTTGTTTTAAAATCTCAAGTTACCAATCAACTTACTCTACAATCCATAAAACTACAAAATCCAAAAATAGCATAAACTATGAGTATCACCAGCAAAGTCCTACTTACCAACTAGAGCTAGTATACATATTTACAAGATCTCACTCACCATTTTACTCATCAGATGCTTTACTGGCTTGGCTGCCTCCAGTTCCAGCCACAAGTTACTTTACTAAAATATCCTCCCAGCAGGGATCAGTATCTTAAAGTCAATGATATACTTCATCATACCAGTACTGTAACACAGAACTCTGAGGTAATTACATGTAAAGATCCAAAATCACCAGCTGAATAACTATTAGGTAATAGGACTTGTTAGATTTTTAAATGTTTTACAGAAAGCTTTAGACCTATATAAGTAAAAGCTTGTAATGATTTGAATTCTCTACGATCTTTAAAACACACACACTACAGACCAGGAATCAAAAATAGCTTTACACAAACAAGAGCAAAATTGTAGGTTTTGCTGAGGGCATCAGCCACTTAATTTAACCCCACTTCATCAAGAGCAGGAAGCCAGGCTGCTGTTTTCATCAGTTACTAGGGAACAAATAAGATAAAGGATAGACTGGGCAGGAAGAGTCTACAGTTGAAATGAATATTTTGATGCAATTACTGAAAATTCCCAAAGTGTCACTAAGAAAAAGCACCTAGGGCTGCTTCAGAACGAAGTCTATCTACAACTGAGTGAGTGCTTTAAGGGGAGTAAAGACATACTGGGGCTCAGGATTGTTTTTTCCCCTTCTCGAGCCCCTCCTCCCTTCCCCCACCTAAACAGGAAAGAAAACTCGCCCAGCATAAACACAAGGCCAATGCTCACGGTTTGTCACCACAACAAACTGGAGGTTAGACCAGCGCTGCTGGAGACCGAGCCCCAAGTCCTAGTTGCTAAACACAAAAAGGGCCTCTTTCCCACAGACCTGTGAACAGCGCGGGCCTTACTCAAGAGTTTTTTGGTTGTTTCCTCACCTTTTCTCTCTTTTTTCTTTAAACGAAAGCTGTGGGAAAGTGGCGACAGACAGCAAAAGTTTCCCTCTGAGCCAGACCTCTAAATCCGCCTTGCACTGACACACATTAGGTGGGCTGGTCCCACGTAGTCTCCACCATCATTACAAATTACAAACCTAACGATTAAAGAACAGAAGCGGAGAGGATAGAAAAGCTTCCACACCCACCCCACCACCGCCGTCCTTTCCAGACACCGCTTCCTGGTCGCAAAGAGCACAAATAACCCAAAACCATGGTGATAAGCAGAGCTGTGAAATACACACGCACAAGCCACACGCTGGGAACCTGCCACAACGGCCGGGAAAAACCGGCCGGGTGAGGAGGCGCAAGGCGGCCCCCTGTCATCTCAGGACAACAACACGCCCCGAAGAGAAGTGGCAGGAGGCAGCGGGAGTTGCCCCGAAAACAAGCCCGGAGCCGCCCCGCTTTCCCGGGAACGCAAGCTCCTCCGCGGCCGCGAGCTGCCGGGCCGCAGGACTGGGCGCCGGGTCCCGGGTGGGGGCGCGCCCAGGGAGGCGCCCCCCGCAGGCCGGGCGC